GTGTACAAGTGTTTTATGATATCCAGTATGCAATCACCAAACAACTTTTTAATAATCAACAATGCATTTTGGTATACCATAAGGCTATATTCTGTGTGTTGAGTTGGTTGCATTCAGTGTTTGAAATGAAAGTTTTGAAAAGCATTTTCATCAAATATAAACAGCTTTCTTTGTGTAAACAAAAGAATAGTTGTTGGCTCTTAGTGCAATTGGTTTGTGACTGTAAATGTGTATTATGCAGGGATATTTCAGTCTTTGTTGTTTTTATAACAACATTTTACTGTTTTCCAGACAGATCCAGGTGTCACTTGCATCGTTGACAATGCAAAGAAATCCGAAAGGTACATAGACTGAAACATTATGAGAAAGATTACAAAAATGATGAAAATTGTCGAAAAGAATGCAAAGATCTGAATCCTGCTCATGAGTTATATAAAAAGCTGTATCATCTCAGAAATTCAGATAGAAGGCAATCAGATGATAATAACAACAAAGATGAGGACAATAGTCTGAATATAAATAAAGATAACTTCTCATCCCAAAAATTCAGACAGTGGAAATCATGTTTTTGATCACATGTTCTTGGTATTGAGAAGGTCTCACAAAAAAAAAAATCTGTAAACTTTCATTTATATACAATCACTAATTAAGAAAGCAAAGAAAAGGAATGGCATCATTGTTGAATAAGTTAACATTTGATTACTTTTTTGTCAATTAAAAAGAAAAGCTTTCTGGCTGGCTTTTCATCAGGAAATTACTTTGACATGTGATTACCATATCTACAATAAATATACGCATTATTGTATAATGGGGTTGGGAAATGCTTTTATGAAAACCTTTCAGTTTAGGAATATACAGAAGTCCTACATTGTAATGAAAGAAATTGCTGTTGGTCACCATTTTGTAGCAAGAGGAGTTACTACTTGTTATGCCTGAAGTGAAGTAGATGATTTCAACATTTTCAAGAATACAAATTTCAACATATGGGGAATTTTACACACACACACACACACATTGAGACATGTTTTGTTGAATAATGTAGACATGTTCTGTCTACTTATTTTCAATAAGATCCTTTCATATTCATGGATAAGCTTTTTGGTGTCATTATTGAAGGACAAAAGAAAATTGTTGTGTTGATACATATTTCTTTTATTTCCAAGTAATTTTGATATAGCACAATGTCATTGCTTGCAAAGGACAGAAAGAGAAAAATTATGCATATAAATCGACAAGGCTCATTAAAAAAAAGAAAAATATGGGATTAGTGTTGTAGGTTTATATCCTTTCTTTTATAGTCCTTACAGCACCACCTAGTATTCTCCTAGAAGACAAAGTGGAAGTAATCACCACAATAGTTTTTGAAAATACAAAAATATGCATCTAAAAATATTTTTTTTTATCATGACAGAAATGTATCTTTCAAAATATTCTTTGAAGAACTGTAATAAAGTGTTTTTTTTTTTTGTTTTTTTTTGTAGTATTATTTTTAACCAGTCCCTTTTTAAATACTGACCCTAATATATCTGTTCTGTCTTGATTCAAGGTTAGTTTCTTTCAAAATAAAAATCACTAAAGAAACATGGCTTAAATCCTTTATTTAATTCTTCTGGAAATAAGCATCTTATTTGTGTTACGTTGTTTTGAATGCTGCTAAATATCTGAAATTAAAAAGTTTTCAGTGATCTTTAAATATTTGAGTTTTAAAAGGTTGCGCTACAGAAATGAACGTGACTGATCTGCAGTGAATCTAATTACAGAAAGCCGGTAATGGTGGTCGAATGACCGCGATTAAATCCGATTTTTTCTGGTCGATTAACTTCAAAACGGTAGGTTTTAATTGTAATTGTTAATTCGAATTCAGCACTTATTGTACATTTATACAGAAATATGACGATTTCGAAAAATAGATATTTAGCTTCCTTGGGGATTGAAATGAAAATTTACCCATTTCCACGATTTTTCTTTATGTATTTTTGATTTTTATTTGTTTATGACTTAAACAAATTAATTTTTTTTTTTGTATTTTTTAGTAAAAGAAATATACGACTTAAAATAAAAAATCTAAGGCAGAATATTAAAAATTTTAATATTCTACATTAGAATTCTTAATTTAAGTTGTATTTTTTAACACTTGTTCATTTTAATTTAAAATGAAACAAGTGGTAAAAAACTAGAAAGTTTTAATTTCATATTTCAGTACAGTGTAACCCGGATATAAGAGAGTTGTCGGGACCGGAGAAGAAGTCTCTTATATCCGTGTTTGGTCTATTTTATTAAAACAGGCTCTAATTTGGGACCAGAGAAAATCTCTCTTATATCCGGGTTTCTCTTATATTCGGGTTACTAAATTTAAGAATGGCTTAGATTATTTGTATTTTTATTTTTATCAATGATATTTTGATTTCCTGATTTTTCTTTCCTGGGGGGGGGGTTATGACTTTATATCTCGTCAACAAAATGTTACCTTATAAATTTTAAGGCTTAAATTTAAAAAAGTTTTTTTTATTTAACTGAAACGACAGTTTAAAAAAAAAAAATAGAAAAAAGCCACGTGTTCAGACATCGAACTTCGTCTTTGAACCTAATCACACTGTCTTTGCGTAAAAAAACTAACAATTCCAATTCTGGGATGCAGATATTTACAGATGTTTAATTCGTCATCTGTCTATTTGTCTGTTATTTGATTGAAAAGAATTGAAAACTAAATTAAAGAAATCTTTTTCGTAATTCACAATGAATGGCCGCCATTTTCTATTGTTTAGTTTACACAAGGTTTTCCATTAATTTTTTTCTTTTCCAAAATGTTAACGTTTAAAATTTATTTCTTAGGATTATCTAAATAGAAAATGAATTCAGAAAACAATTAAATCTTGAAAAATTTTCTTTCCATCATAATTGTATTTTTGTATTCTTTTCTGGGTACCCTCACGCAGTTGTACAGGAAGCAACATATAAAGTGTGTCTTGTTGAAGCCCTTATCATCGCTTCGTGGCCTCATGGCTATGATCAAAGTGTAGTATCTGTTCTTATCAGCTTAATATCTGATAGGTCCCTTACTTAGGGACTGTGGTATTAAACTGATTTTTGGAATTAAGTGAAGTTTAGGGGCTTGCTCCGACTTTACTACGGGTTGACCTGGTATTGCAGCATTTCCAGGTATCAGCCCAGTCTCCCAACAAGGGAGATAAATCTAATCAAAAAATCAGACTTCCTTTTTTCTATTCCACGGTTCTTCAGATGTTCTGACAATGACCCTTGCTATCTAATTGTTTCTTAGATCTTTTATTAAATCTAGTAAGGCTTATAAATATCTCTAAAGATTTTATTGTCCCTTCAGAAGATAAGCAATCATGGCTCTCCACTTTTCCCTATCCCTTCTAATTTCATATATATATGTTTTGTCCTTTTGCTACTTCTCCCACACCCTGTTCTGTCATCCCTGTGAGTATCAGATTCCCTAAGCCCTCTGTTCTCATTACATGTTCATGAAATTTCAGCTATCTCTTCTTGATGTTAAGTATAAGCTGCCTCGATGGTATCTTTAGCATCCTTCTGTAGAACCATACCTCCATTGCCTCTTCTTCATCTTGTCCAACATCTGCTGCCATAAAGGAAGACAGATATCATGTAGCAGTTCAGTACTCTTTTCTTTGTTGCCAATGAAATCCTCCTCTCTTTTGTCTTTGGCCATCCGAATATGTTTTAAGATTTCAGCATCACACTTACTATCCTCTGTCCAAACACTTCCCAGATATTTAAATTTCCCTGACTCGTAAATCACATTTTGGGCACAATTTTTTACTGATGACCATACATTTTGTCTTCTTGTAGATTATGCTTAGTCTCTTCTTCTCACTCTCCTTTGCTACCTTCTGTAGGAGGTTTTGTAATTTCCTTTCCATGTCTGCTGTCTACACTGTGTCATCTGCGTATCTTATGTTGTGAAGATTGTGGCCGCCAATGATGAATCCTGGTAGGATTTCTAGTTCTCTCTGAATTGCCTTTCTGTATAGGTTGAATAGGTCCGGTGAGAAGGCACATCCTTGCCTTACACCCCTTTTTATTTTTGTATATTCACCGAACTTGTTCTCTATGCGCATACATGCTGTTTGCTGCCAGTGTAGGTTCTTGATTATTCTAATACTTTCCCCAAATATATCAAGGTTGCTGAGCAGTTCTAACAGATCTTTGTGGTGTAGTTCAAATTTACTTATGTTCAAATAAACTTACCCATCTCATCCCCTAGCTATTCTAGTATAAGGCCTGAATATGGGCACATGATTTGATTTCCTTACCTTTCGGCTGTGTGGCACTTGATCCTGAAAGTTATGTATTTATTTACTCATATAATTCATTTTTGCCCTTAATTTTGACAGTGGTTGGTTACTTTGAAGTTATCAGATCTCAGCTTTACTACTGGTTGTCCTAAAAATAGTTTGTGCTTAAGGCCTGTATGTTAAACAATGCCAATCCTGGTCAATACCTAGATGACTGCTTGGGAATACCAAGTACTGTAGGTTGGGATGTGCAGGTGGTGTAATGGATAACATCTTGGAATTGTAAATTGAAGAGTTGTTTCAATTTCAGTAGAATTTGTTATATTCACTTGTGAGCAGGAAAAGTATGAATCCAATTCTTCCCCTCCCTAGGGGTTAATTAGTAGAACTTGTATCAGTAAATCATTATTATCTCCTAAAAACTCTTGCAATCTAAAAGTATTTTCTGGCTTTAAATAACCTGAAAATCCAACAATTAAGCCCAGGTAAAATCCTTTAGTGGCTGCATGTGACTTGAACCAAATCTAGGAGATATCTAAGGTGTTACATATCAATATTTAGCCAAATCTCTCCAACATCTATTCTTATAGACAACTGGTAGAGTTGCCTTTTTTGTTACCCCCCACAGCTTCTAGTAGTAAGACTGGTTTAGTTGAGTATAATTGTTTAATTTGGTATAATTTTTGGTTTTAATTTTCACTCCACTTTTTTCTTTTACAGGTAACTTTTATGGTGAAGGTGATGATCTTCAATCTGAGAGAACAAACAACAAATCCCAGATGGACAAGAACCACAATCTGAGGACAGAAAATTGATCAGAAATCTGAAGCTGATTATTTCACATGAAGACCAAACTTTTTTCTTTTTATTTTCTTTTACATTTTTAGTTTCATTGCAATCTATGCAAATGAACCACAACAAATACATTTTTAAATATCAACTTTAAAAATCCTTTTAACATATCTACAAAACTTTCTTTTCTGTATCTTATTTTCAAAAACTATTCATGATCATCTCCATAATATTTAAAAAAAAAAAAAACTATTCCTTTTTGATAAGTTTAGGATCATTTTTTAAAACTCCTTAGTTTATCTTTATAAAAAAAAAAAAAAAATAAATCCAGTTAATGAAAACAAATTTTGCAAAAATGCAAGAACAAAGTAGATTTTGATAATTTTTATCCCGTTTTGTAAACATTGAAACATATTAATTGATGACTGATGACTATTATTCGATTTGAATCAACTGTGGAAAAAAATGTTAAAAGATAGAAAATAAAAAAGAACTTCCAAGTCAACAGTACTAAACAAAAAAATGTCTATTTCAATGTAGAGTAACACTTGTATTGTTAAATTTCAAAAAGCTTACTATCAGCAAAAAAGTAATTTGATGGAAAGAAAATCCACTTTTGTAGATTACAAAAATGATGTTTTAATTTTTAAACTGCTCTTGAAAGAGTGAAAATATTACAAAAAATGTTTTTATTTTTTAACACTGAATTATCATAAGATATAGAATGTATTATTCTAAACTAAGCAAAGTGAACTTTCTAGAATCCTGATGAAAATTCTCATCCTCTGCTGTTTAGTTCAATTGTTATCGTAAATTTTCCAATCAGCAGAAAATATATGCAAAATACAGCGTCTTAAATTTTCTATCCGCTCAAAAGTTTTTTTCTCTAATTAAAAAAATAAATACTCTTTCAATGCGAAATATACAAATTTGATTAATTCATTTACTCTTGTGCCATAGTGTATAAAATTCTCCTTCAGATACTCATTAAAATATAATGAATCTCATCTTCTCTAGTTGTTGTCCAACTCAATATGCTTTTCATAATTGAACAGATATTTAATATAAAGTGAAAATTGTTTGAGGATTTTATGCTGAACTACATAAATATTTAACTTGATTATTATTTTTGTTTAATACAAAGTTATCTTTGTAGTAATTAGTATACTAGAAGAAATGCAAATTAGACCAGGTTAAAGTATAAGTTAAAAATAATTCAAACAGTCCTAAACACTGAGCCAGTAATTACAGCAGAACTCAGGCTTACTATTTGGAACATATTTAACACTTACAAAAATCAAACACTTGATAAAAAAAATTTGAAGGAAATTTATTTTTCATAAAACTTATGAAATTACAAAAACTTATTTCTTCATTAAGTAAAAAGTAAGTACAAAAATATTTAAAAAAAATTTGTTTATCAGATTCCAACCTTAAAAAAAATCTAAAGGTAAAAAAAATGGAGGATACATCTAATTTTGCAGTAAATTTACTTAAGACTTCAATTTCCACTGAGCTTAGCACAATAGGAGACCATGGACAAAAGACTGAACGACTAAGACCAGCTGATATGTGGGTCCTGTGTTTGTTCACCTTTGTGCCAGCTGCAACTACCATTCTCTACAGTATCTACCAATGCTTTCATCCAATTTCTAAGCAAAATGAAAGAAGTATGAATATCTTACCGGTCACTTTATCCCTAATTGCAAGTTTTCTCTCGGCCAATACAATTGTTGGCCTGCCTGCAACCATTACCAAGGAAGGCCTGACATTTGGATGGATTATTTTCACCTTCCCCATTTCTATGTTCCTGGTTTCATACTTTTTTGTTCCGGTGACCTACAACTTGAAAGTTGTTGATGTATTTGTGGTAAGCATGAATGTTTTGTTAATTGTTCAATTTTTTTTTTCTTTTTGATATATGGAAGATTACAGTAAACAGTATATCACACAAACAGAAAACTGACATATAGCAAGAACAACACCTACTGTCACATAGCTGTATAGGTCAGGCTTAAAGGACATATATATGTAGCAGAACTGACCATGAATATTTCATTGTGATGTGTTGAATGCCTCAGTGATAAACAAGCGATTCAAATGATTTTTGAGAAAAGTTAAATTAGAATATTGTTGAAATGGTATGGCTTTGAGATGTTCAGTTGTGGTGCATACCTATTAGCAGGTGTTCTGAGGAGTGAATAACCACCAGCAAGAATAGCGCTGACAAGATATATTAATGCAAAAAGTGGAGACTTTCCTACCAAGTATGAGCCAACAGAAAGGCTACCATGACACAAATTGCAGATAGCTTTAGTTGATATTTACTAGTCCTCCCCAGGGTAGATGTGGTACCAAACTGAGTTTAATATGGGATATCCAAGCCCTTACTCGGCCAAAAATTCCATGTAGAACTTGCATAAACGGGATCAGGTGGGTCTACCTCCCTGAATGAGACTCTGCCCTTTGGCATAGCCTCATCTGGGTTCCTCTCTGCCCGAAGGCAGAGAGTTCGACCGTATAGCTGAAAAGATTTCAACTAGTCTCAATAGCTTTAGTCAGGATGAAGGAAGAAATGCATCACAGCACAGTTCATTGATCCTTGCTACTTATAAGGTTGTGTAATTGTATGAAATGTCAGAGTACCCATGGTATGAAATGTCAAACAAAATTTATATGAATGAAGGAATTTTACCAGCTCTACCATCTGATTTTCTCCAGAATAAAGTTGATGGTAAGTTAAATGTGTATTATTATCTGCATAAAGTGTCAGATGCACTGGGATAAAGCAACAAGCCAGTGTGATGATTTTGACAACATTATGCTAACAAGCGCTGAGCCCAATTATTCATGTTGAAGGTATTTTGTTGCCTATCCCCCCACCTCATATCATTGAAATCCTTGTCTACTTCATCATGGTAAGTGTCTTCTAAAAATAGTAGTGCTTCTTTCACTAGGATAATGCACTCTCTTACACTGCATCAGTTGTAATATTTTCAGGAGCATGATGAATATTTCTCCATGCTGCTCTGGTCATCAAACTCCCCAGATTTCAGTTCCATTGATCACCTGTTGGGATGTATTAGACCAACAAATTCACTCTGCAGATCTTCCATCATTTAAAATGCAACAAAAATTCTGGTGCCAGATCTCAAAGGAAATCTGATCAAGTTAGTCACATGGATAATAAACCTCTTCAGCCGCTCATAAGAATGTTTTGGCTTATGATATTTTTTTGTCCCTGTTAATTCAAGGGAGACAACCCAAGCAATGATGATCCTTTTGAAGCTTCATACAAATTTATCTCAATCTTTTTCCTGCCATAAACAACCAGAAAACAAAAAATTGAAACATAGTGACCAGAGATTCATTTCTCCTCATAGCACTAAAAGGTGTAGGACACATTCTGATGTCTGCGGAACTGGGTAAAGTAACAGGACAATTCCATGATGACCTTGGATTGTAGTCTGTTCACATGCTTTAAAATGACCTGGTATCAGATTTTCCAACTGTGGAATTTAAAAAAATTAACTGCTATGTCTCTCCAGATTTCTTTTATTTATTATGCGTGAATTGTCATTCATTCTTGGGAAAGAGAGTAAAATGGTTTCTTGCTGCCTTTCTCCATGGTTTGGTAATCAGTTTTCCTTCTCTTAAACTGGCAGCCACCCAAGGCTAGAGGGTCCACTGTACCCTGCTATTTAACCCATAGCTTGAGGGATGAGAGGTAGATACATGCCTTTCCCAAGACATTTGTGTGAAATAGCTAGCCTGGGATTTGAACTCAGCTTCCTGATTCCATCTTTTGCATTACACCCACCCTGGCATAGTCTTACAGTGGTATAGTGAATACATAAATAAATCACAAAAATTAAAATAGTTATTTCCTCCTTTCTGGGTAGAGAAACTATGAAAAAATTTTGATAGATAAATTCTTTCAGGTGAAACTAGGTACAATAAGTTATAAATAATTTAGCAGATGTTACTCTCATCCTATGTGGGATAAAATCCATGTGTAAATTTTTTTACAAATATTATCAAATACATCTCAACTCAAATCTAGATAAGTTGGGTTATCCTCTTTCAAGTTCACTTATCATAAAACTGATTAAATGATAATGTAGACAAACAATAACCTCCAAGCTCTTTCAATACACGACAGATCTTTGTGGCTAGAATAATTGTTCAAGTGGTCAGTGTTTAGACTGCTTAAAAATGATTTGAGTTCAATGAAACCTGTAGGTCTTTGCATGGATCATCTTTTGAACCTCATGGATTGGCACTACAGAATCACAAAGAGATTGGCACTACAGAATCAAAGAACTGTACCAAATAAGAGAAACCACACCATGTGAGGATTTTCAACAGCAGTAACAACTAAAATGAATAGCACATGTTAACATATGAGAAAATAATGGCATCAAGATGTTGATGTTGCACACTATTTCAAACAAAAGATTAAAATGGAAGCACCCTTCAATACTGGAAAGAGCAATAATGGTTATTAGATTTGAGAAATCTATTTACCTGAAAATTTGTTTTAAGAGAAAGATTTTCTGAATTTCAACTGACAGCAGCACTGGCTGCTGGGTTGATGAATGCCTAATGTTTCATTATAAAGAAACGGATAATATTATTATTACCATTTCAGAATCTTTTTACTCTTCACAGCTTTCTAGTTGGCCTTTTACCAGACTAAACTATGCTTATTTCTGTATAGCAAAAATAGTAAACTTAAGTTTATTTGTCAACCTGTTTTAAGTGAGATATTTGTAGGTGGATATATAATTTAGCATATCATTTCTAAGGTCTAAAGATTAAATATATTTTACTATATTTGCTAACCATATTTCTATCATTAATTTGAATAATTTGGATACTTTACCAGTTTCGGCATTGAACATGTGAAATCCTCAACATTATTATTTGGTTCAGTTAATTACTTTAAAAGTTTCTACATAAATTTCATTCCTTTTAACTTAGTCATATGTAATTAATGCTAAGAAATACAAATATCAATAAGGAGCCCATTTTTTAAGATGAATTGATCTGTGGTGTCCCCAGTATATACCGGGCTGACCCTAAAAGATACCAGAGTAAGCTTTACATTCACTATAATGTTTGAGCATCAAAGAATCTGTGCTCCTAGCCATCAGATGCAGAGTCACACCTCAAAGGATGCCAGTGGCTGCAACCAACATGTAAACAGGTGGTTGTCCTAGCTGCATTTACGATTTGCACACATGGGATGATCAAACAATGAGATGTACAAGTGCTCAATTCGAGAGGGAAAAGATTGATTTTATTTTTATAGTGTGTCAAGACTTTACAGGTTATTTAAAGCCACATAATATTTTTATATTGTAAGATTTTTTTTTTTTTTTTTGAGATACCGTAATTCCCCATGTATAATGTCTTCATCCATAATACACACCCCTAAAATTGTGCTGAAAGTGTGGGAAAATGTGCACCCTTTGTTTGATAATCAAACCCTATAAATTGTACCTCTCCAATTTCATTATGGCCAACGTTTCTTAATCTTATTAAAAAAAAGGGTTTTAAACATAGAATAATATTATTCTAATTTAGTTTTATGATAATTCTTATTTTATTTTACATTTGTAAGTATTATTAGGTATATATGATTGTATGTGACATCCTTATGGGGTTGCAATCGCCGAATGTTATTGTCATATGTTTGTGGTGAGTAGTCATTTCACAACTGAAATCGACTTATGAAATAGCAATATTTTAAAGATTTTTTGTAGCTGTGCATAATACACACATCTAATTTTGCTTATTATTTAAAAAAAAATATATGTATTTTTACATGGGGAATTATGGTAATAATGATATTACTTATACAAGTTCAACTAATTAGCCAATAACTGGTGGGGGGTGAGATGGATTCATACCTTCCCCAAGAGTATTTACATGTAAGTAAATATATCGATTTTGACTGGAATTGGAATTTGGCTCTCTGATTGCCAACTCTGAGCCATTATCCATTATGCCACCCACACACCCAAGCTTACTGCACCTAGTATTCCTAAGCAGTCATCCATCTAGATACTGTCCAGGCTCAATGTTGTTAAACTTTGAGATTGTACAAGAACTGGTGTTTCAACATGATATGGCTGTAACTCCGAGAGGGAAAAGAGAGACAGAGAGAGGGGCTCTCATATCCTCTTGAGAAGGAGGTCCATATTCTTCTGGGAAAACCAATAGCCCATAACCTAGTGCTGATATTAACTAATAAAGTAAGCATATGAACTATAGTTTGACATATGAGAGATGTAGTCTTGTTTTCTTATTTTCTTATTAATCATGACAATGTTGCATCATTATTAAGTCTATTTTTTCTCACTGCCTGATTCAAGTTACTAAAAGCATTCCAGCCATTCTAATTTATATATTCAAAATACATTTCAGTTTTTGAGCCTCATTTTGGCTGATCTCCCTCTTCAGAAGTCTTGTGACACATTGTCATAGAATTACTTGTCATTATATCTGCAGGTTTACAAATGCATCACGGCACACAGGTAAATCTAATTTAATCTTTGAAGGTAGTTGAATATAGCCTGCTTCTCACCTGTAAATAAGTCTTTCTTCATTTGCCACCTGCTTTGGTGTTTCACAGATATATCCTAACACTGCCTATTTGACAGATTCACTGCTTCTGACACATTCTGACACTCACTAGACACATGAACTAACCATTGTAGATTGGTATGTGACCATAAATATTGGGGTTTGGGCTAAGTAACAAATTAACTATGTTACTAATTTATTGGATTATATTGTGTCAGCCATTCCAAGTGGAAAAATGGACACCAAATATCAATTCCAAGTGGGGGGATGAGGAGGTGT